TCTCAGCAGCCCATCTAGTTAACTTCGGCGTCATCTTGGCTTGTGTCTTTAACCATCTACGAGTCGCATGATCGGAATATACCTTGAAGTGCCTCCCAAGCAGGTAGTGCTTCCAGTGATCTAAGACCTGCCTGAGAGCATAGAGTTCCCTCTCGTATGTCGATGCTGCTACCTTTTATGAGGGCAACTTGGATAACATGAACTCTACGGGTCTATAATCGTTGTCGTCATCTTGCTGCAAAACGACGCTTATGCCATACTGACTAGCGTCTGTGGTGACAACAAATGGCAGTGACGAATCAGCAACTTTGAGGATGGGGTACTTTATTAAGGCCTTCTTTAATTTCTTGAAGGCTGACGTGCAATCTTGGTTCCACTTCCAAATTGTCTCTTTCTTCAGTAGTCTACGAAGGGGAGCAGCGATCGTGGAGAAGTTCCTCACAAACTTCCTATAGTAGTTAGCAAACCCTAGGAATGATCGTGGTTTGGTCAACTTCTTAGGAGTTGGTCAGTCTCTAATAGATGCTATCTTACTGTCCTCAGGCATGGCCTAGGTAAAAAACCTCTGTCTTGACCCACTCGCACTTCTTTGGGTTAATCTTAAAGTTAGACTCTCTCAACTTTCCTAGAATCTGCCTCAGATGGCCCTCATGCTCCTCGAGGGTCTTGTTGAATACTAGGATATCGTCTAGGTAAACTACGACGAACCTATCTAGCCACGACCTGAACAAGTCGTTCATGCAGCGCTGAAATGTGGTTGGTGCATTAGTTAGTCCAAACGACAGATGAACTTGTAATGCCCATATTTCGTCCTGAACGCCGTTTTATACTGATCATTAGGATGAACTTCTATCTGATGGTAACCTGACTTCAGATCTATCTTTGAAAAATACTTGCATCCCTGCACTCGATCTAACAAGTCATCTATACGCGGCAATGACTTAGCATTCTTAATCATGATGGCGTTCGGTCCCCTGTAGTCTATACACATACGCAACTCTCCCTCTTTCTTTGGGACGAATAGAACAGGTGCACGGAAAGGTGACAAACTAGGCCTTATCCATCCTTTCTCTAGGAGCTCGCCTAACTGCCTGCGAAGCTCCTTTAGCTCCTTGGGAGACATCCTATAGACTGCCCGTTTGGGCGTCCTACTGCCAGGCTCTATCTCTATACGGTGCTGGATTGGTCTTGGCACTACTCCCAAAGGTGCTTCCGACAAATCTTTATACTCTTCCAGCAGACTGGCAATAGTAGGATGGATCTTCTCCTCTTCCTTTGGCTTGTCAAAAATCGGCCTAACATATGCTACAAACACCTGCTCTTCGAGCTGCTCCTTTCGCACAAGTCTGGCAAATGCAGGAACGTTGAGGCAGCAATGTGCGAGGGGATTATCTACCCCAGACTCATGGTACAAGCGGACTTGCTTGACTTCGCCTGACGGGCTAGGAGCCTGCACTCGTGCTCTCAAAGGTGCAAAGTGGCTCCTGCTGCCTGTCCCCAATCTGTGCCTAACACAATGTCAAACGGGAGGTTCACTTCTACGAGGAGGGTCAAAGAATGTAGTACCTTCTCTACCTTCACTTCTTTCTCTAGGTGAAAGTAGGCGCGGACCCCCTCGACATACTCTTCGACGCGCATCCTACTGTTGTCTGCAAGGATGCTGACTACAAGTTCTTATAATCGTTGGACTTTCAACTTCAACTTTTTCAACGCTTTACGACTAATATAACTCCTGGTGGCCCCATTGTCTATCAGGGCCCCTATTCTAGCTTTAAAATTTTCTACGTCTGCGAGGATTAGTTGTCCTTTCCCATCCTTCTTCATCTTGGCCCAGGCTTGTCTTCTCTCCTTCAATTCCTCAGCTAAGCCTGTGAGGGAGACGTTCAGAGAGACTCTAACACAAGCAGTCTCTGGACAACCTACTAGACGTTGGCCTGCAACCTCTGCCATGGAGATATGTGGAGTGGGAGACTACTTCGCGCGCACGCTCAGGTCCGTATACTCCTAGGGTAGGGGCAGTTGCAACCCCTACCGGCGACTGTCTTTTGCTGCCCTAGAAACAACACGACTCCTATACTTAGGAGAAAATTTTATGATGTGGCCTGGGTCCCCGCAAAACATGCATTGAGATCTATTAATAAGCTCTTGCCATACTTCCTTCTCAATGCCCAGATCTTCCCAAGGTCGACCCTTGGGTCGGCCTGGATGCCACCAACCCGCTCTGGGGGGTGACCGACTAGAACGCGGACGGTCAGACGGGGGACCTTGACCCCTTCCTCCTGCTTGATGACCCCCATTGCCGCCAACCCCCTGGCTGCCCTGTCCTCAACCATATGGGGCCCAACCATTTCGGCCAGGCCCTTGTCCTCCTCCTTGCGGCCTCCCTCCGGCCGCGACAGCAACATAGGTTCTCCCCTGGTCTGCATTACTGTCCTCCTCCTCTTATCCCCACTCAATGTCTGAGTAGGGAATCTCCTCAGCACCACCTTCTTCCATTGTTAGAATCAAGCTATCCTTGGCCTTGACCTGACCACAGACGGTGCGTCCCTTCCACATTTTTCCCTTTGTTAGATCATTATGCCAGAACGTGGTAACTAGTGATGCTTGAGCGGCGAATGCAACAGCTTCCCTACTAAGAACATCATAGGTCATACCTGGCTGCTGCTTTTTCTGAAAGAAATGCCCTTGCACATGCTCGGGCAGGGCACGATAGAGGAGTTGGAGTAGTTGGGCATCGGTTACTCCATGCCCAGGCACAACGATCAGCTCATCCATGGCAGACCTGAGGGCATGCATGCTCTTCCATTGGCGTGTATGGATCATTTGCAGTTTGTCAGAGGCCTTAAGCCCCAGTGTGACATCTGAGAATCGTTCCACTCTTGAATACGTGACCATGTCATTGTCACAGTTTGCGGCTTGTGCGAGCGACCTTGCAAAACTGGTTGCCTCATCTTTCAATGATTAGAAGGCTACTAGAACATGCTCTTCTGGCACGACTCCCTTGAGATACAGGTAAGAGTGCACATTGGCCTCCCAATTGTCAAAGTCCTCCCCCTTCTTTCCACCGACGGGCTCGGGGAAACGGATCTTGACCTTTTCGTGGTGTGGGGTAGGCTCCTCTTCCTTAGGAGCCGCTATCTTGGTGCCCTCAATGGCGCCAGTGCATAATTCTTTGGTCTTACTAATCGCAAGGTTGACCTGGCCCACCATATATTTCATCATATCCTGCGCAAAATCTTTAAATCCAGCGCGCATCGCCTCTAGCTGAATATCTTGGCTACAGAGATACTGCATCTGCTCGCGGTGCGCCGTTAGTAACGATTCTACACTTTGTGTCAGGGTCTTGAGCTTAGTGGCTATCTCGGTTTCTTCCCTGATCTTCCCCATCCTAGTCTCTGCCCCTTTTAAATCCCTTTCTGCTCGCTCCGCCGCTTCCAGACGCCTAACTCTCTCTTGGGATAAGCGCCATTTCCACGCCCTCAGCTGCTCTCCTTTGCTCTTCTCCTCACAGGGTCCCTCTCTGCCTCCAACTCCTTTCTTGCCGCTTCTCTCTTTGCTTCGGGTATCACTAACTCGGCCTCTCTATCTTCCCCCAAGTCCAGATGCGCGGCCCATTCCTGCGTCATCTTTTCTACTTCCTCCTCCTTACTCATACTTGGTTCACCCCTCCTTCTTTGCAAAGGCACTTCTTCTTCTACCTCTTCTTCTTCTTCTTTCCCCACCTCTGCCTGTATGGCTGCCATCTTCTCCTCCTGCAACTTCTTCCACCTCTCCAGCTCTTCCTCCATTTGCTTTTTCCTCGCCTCCTGCTCCTCTTGCAGGGCCAACATCTTCGCCTGCTTGATCAGTTCCCTCTTCTCCATCTTCTCATTTTTCTCTCTCAAAAGGGCGGCAGCTCTATCTTCTTGCTCCCTACTATAGGGGGTGGTACTAGTTCCAGACCTGAGGGTCACCACGGTGAAAGTGCACAATCAGAAACGATTCTGCTTCTCAACACGTAGACCTATCAGACTGGCTGTCGTCTAAGGGGGCTTCCTACAGCTCTACGACCACATCCACAGAGTCCTATCGACCTGGTCAGAAGCGACAGGGAGATATGACTGACTCAGACAGACCTGACGTCAGCAAGTACCAAGGTGAGGGTGCACATCCACAGGGTAAGGGCTAGGCCAGGGCTTGGAGAGAAAATACCGCTCGTCTTCTCGCTCCAACTTGGTCAACACCTCGGTCAAAGCTCCTGGTCAACAGTCTGATCAATCTTGGTCAACGGTCTTGGTCAACCTCTGGTCAACACGGTACATCCTTTCCTAGGGAAGCAATCAATGTCATTTTTCGGGCCTCCACACCAGAAGGGGGAGGAGCGTGTGTGAATATCCGTTGTAATTCTTCTAACATGCCGGGGGAGTAGGAACCGGACTGACGCTCCCCAGAATGGAAAAGGAGCCAGAACCCTAAGTTCTTTTTTTTTTTGCAAAAACAAAAAACAAACAAACAAACACGGCTGCAAACTTTTGAGCAGCGTGAGGTAGAAGGTCTGTTGCATGGGGTATTCCCATCACACATACAATGTGGTTACTCTGTGAGATTAAAGCCTTGACTACATCGTTTCTAGACTCTTGAGTATTCATCTCTCGGGCAGGAAACCTTACCCTTTCGGGAAACTTCACCCTTTCTGTTTTCGGCTTTCTGACAGCCTGACAACCTCTAACACTCGCACTCTGACACTGACACACGTTATCGGATGGCTCACAATCCATCTGCATACTTGTTTTCATCTATGGCTTCCCAAGATGCACCCATCCACCATTCACAGCACCAGGTATCAACCACAAGTAGCATTTGCGAGCAAATCTGAGCCGCACGATTAAACGATCAGGCGATGGAAAAAGGGTCACGAGACCAGTGTCAGAGCCCGCAGCTGATAAACTTCGGTATACTTCGTAGATATTTTTTTCTTTCGGACAATTGAAAAAAATGTGATGGTCTTATGGAGGGTGTACCTTGGGTTGCTCAGAAATTGATGACTTTTTCTCAGGCTTTTTCTCTTGACCACCTGTATCCTGGCTCATGGAGATGCGGCGAGATGCTCGGGACTCCTTGCGGCGGTAGTTGACATCAGGCATGAATTCCAAATTGTGCAGATTGTCAAAGCATTTTGCAAGGTGCTTCAAGATTGCATGAGGATTGTTACTCCCCTTGCTGAGAATGTCCAGAAGATCACTGGGGGAGACAAAGTAGAACCGTGGGAAGGCACGCCGTTTGGTCTCCAGGTAATTAGCCAAAGCCTTTTCACACATTTGCAGCAAATTGAGCATGTTCTCCAACCTTTCCTGCCTCCCCTCCATGTTGCATGCTTCAACCACATTGGGTGTCTGAACAGCAACCTGCGGTAGATTGTAAAATTTGAAAAGATCAAGTCAGCCCTAAGTGATCTGTTGGTGAGTGCTGCTAATTGGTGTGTGTACCATGTTGAGTCAAGCAGAACACAGAAGACAGGAAAGCACTCAAAACCATCAGCTTGCTTTTTCTTCATTTTGAGTCTTTTGACATTATTAACTCAATTTTGATTCATGGCACTGGTGTTTGTGTGCTGGCCATCGTGCATGTGCACCAGAAAATCCCTAAAAAAAAACAAAAAGGATAATGCGAGGCATAGGCCTCGATAAGCCCTACTGGGCCCCTACTTGCAACAGGTCGGCCGCCCTAAGTGAAGGCAGGCCCGACAGACAACAAGAGGCCTATTTTTGACTACTTCGCAACTGGGAAAATTCAGGCAGTTGTGCAGCGCCAGTTGGTTGAAGGCGCCCAGACCCTGGCCTCCTTTATCGACTGTATCTAAGTCAGGCCCTGGGCGAGATACGCAGCATAGGCCCAAGGCCAGTTGGGCCCGGGTAACTGTCGGTGGCCCTGGGCCTGATTCGTTTGGTCTGAGGCTCAGCCTCCCTGGGCCTACCGGAAGCTTTCTGGGCAGGGACCCAGCGCAGCCAGGCTGCACGCAAGCAGGCTGGCTACTTCCATTTAGGAAAGGGCCAGCCTACGCATTTGGCATTCGGGCACTGGCTGCTTTGTGCGCAAGCGCTGCTGCGCTATCGCCTGCCAGGCTCACATGCTCACGGGCGAGCTGGAAGGAGCAGGCAGCCATAGCCGAGCTGCGCTGCTGTATGCTGGATGGGGCGCATGGTGGTCCTTGGGTGCAAGTGGCATCTGTGAGTTGGGGAACGAGGTTGTGAGTGATACGAGAGACATACCTGGTCCTTGAAGCGTGCGGCATTGTCCGAGATCTGCTCGTACTTCAGGGAGCTGTTGACGTCATCAGCGGCACTGTAGAGTAGGCTAGATAGGATCTGCCATCTGTAGTCTGGGCACCGAGCGCCAGATAGGATATCGACATTGGTTCTTTGTTGATGATCGTGATGAGACTATTCCAGCACTGTCAATTGTGAGCTTTTGGTGTGCTCTTATTTGGTGAAACTCGTGATGCGATTCTGCTTTTGGTTCGAGTTCACGACTATCTGGTCTCATGTGTTGATGCTGTTTGATTGCTGAAGTTCGCTATTGCTCATCTTCCTTGCAATTTGGTATCAGAGCTGTGGTTCGGTGTGCTAATCTGGCGCTTATCTTCTGCCTAATGCGGTACATGCACGTGGTGTGTACGGTGAGCGACCGTGCCGTGGGACGTGTGTAGTGAGGAGGGCGAAGATAAGTGGCGACCCAGGAGGTGAGGGGTATTGCCAGGAAGGCTGTGTGGTGATTAGTGGGTGTTCACAGTGTGATGAGAACTATCCGGTGTGTGATTGATGCTGAGGTGGAACGGTTGTGCAATGCTGGTTGTGCCGAAGCAGCGATTGGTCATCACAATCAACATCAGGTCATCTGGTGAGAATATCTATGGTTGGGGGCAGCTATTTCGAGGTACGTTGCACCTAACCTTATCTACCCTCTTCGACACTTGTTACTGTGAGGATGTGTGTTATGTCTTGAGAGCCCTCTTATGTGAGGAGTCGTGTGCGCTCAACCTTGAGAGTCGTCAGCCTTCACATGGAGCATCTGGAAGGAGAGGGCGGAGCTATCTGAAGGGCCTTGGACGAATCACTGGGTCATGGTCACCATGCCGACCCACCGGGAGTAGAGCACGCATGCTTTGCTGCTTTGTCCTTTGTCTTCTCGCTGCGCTGTAGAGGGGTTCTGAAGGGCAGGCCAGTCCTAGGGGGCAGACGAGACCGGGCAGCTATAAATAAGCACTGGCAGTGTCGGCCCGAATACCCTTACAAGGGTATTTGGGCGCAATCTTGCATCTCACAGGAGATGCGTTTTCAGCAATATCCGAGAGAGTGTCCCATTTTTCAGTAACCGCGACCAATTCTCAGGGATTGGGAGTGACATACATTTCTAAGTTGATAAGAGAGTGCGTGAGCGTGCACTTTGTGGGCACGCGTTAACTTGACCAAACAGTTGACCAATGAAAACTATGAGACGTCGGTAGAACAAGTAAGTGCTAGGCTAGAATCTTGGATGAAGCCACGACCTCGCACGAGCGGACGAAGTTACGGACAGCGTGAAGTTGACCAGGAGAGACTGCGAGGAGGACTTTGGTTGACTTACTGGCAGACGGCGTTCTGGGGTCACATTATGAGGAGTGCGCAAGTACTAAGTTCAACCATGCATTATCGGTAGTAGTAACAGTCGGGGTGCACCGTCTGCAGGCCTAGGCTGGCTGCAGCTACCGCTTATATGCAGGTCGGCGCATAACCAGTCCAGGATTGGGCTTAGCCCTATTGGTTATTACACTGGACTTTCAGTAGGCGGATCCCGGGATCGAGGCCAGCAGCCAGCATTGGAGGAGCAAAGAAGCGCTACGGAGTAAACTGAGGGGTTGAGGGTCCTACGGGACTATCCCCTTTAGTCTTGTTGGGGGATCCGACCACGGGCCCACGAGGCAGGACCAAGTACCATCGGTTCCCCTCCCCTATCGGCCTTTCTAATTTCTATCTCTAAGTTATTACTATTTATTTTTATTTTTTATTTTTTCTTCTTATTTCTTATTCTAGTCCCGTTTGAACGAGGCCAGACACAGTGGGCCAATGGCGCTGCGGGAGGTTCACAGCAGCAATGCTGTGCAAACCGTTCGTCAGTCTCGAGTATAAGAGCGAATTGAACTGTTCTCCGAGCTTCATTTGAGACGGTCGCGTTGCTATGAACGCTGGCCGACCCCTGTGGATCGACCGCTACTAAGGAGTTGCGTTACCAGCAGACGAAGCGAGGAGAGGGGCCGACGGGTATGAACACAAGGAGGAGGGGATGGATCTGGACGCGGATCGGCGCCAGATACAGTCAGTGAAGAGAGTAACAGGAAACGGGCATGGCAGAACAAAGAGTGCATAGCTCGGTCGATCGGAATCGAGCAGGAAGAAGTGTAATGGAGGTTTGGGGACCGGGCGAGCGTAGTGGTGAAGCTAGACTGGGGGATAGATTAGTAGAATCGGCGTTAGTGAAAGAACAGACTGCGCAGAGGTCCTCGAAGATGGCTATGGCGGAGGAGTGAGAGTCCAATTCGATCAACTCCTATTGAAGTCAGCTGAGAGGAGTTGGTACGAGGGTGAGGAAATAGAGAAAGGAAGAGCTTATTAGAACGACGAATGGTGGGGTATGCTAGAAGATAGGAAGGGAAAAAGGCGTCGGGAAGAATCAAGGGAGAAGCGAAATGTGTCTCCTCGTATTCTAAGGAAGGTTCATTTTTCATCATTTTTCTTTTCGGTTATTTTCGTTAGTTTTGTACTTACTCGAGAGTTGCGCATCTGTTCGCGTTTTTGGTGGGAGATTCGTCATCTTTTTGCATGTTCGAGGCAGAACAGTTCGTTGTGATCACCATTGTGCGTTCTGCCATCGTGATCATTATCAAGGCTCTCCCGTTCGTCTCCGTGTAGGGCTTTGTGGTCATCACCAAAGAGCTTCTGATCATCGCCGTGCTCGACTCCGTTGCTGTGCTGGTTTGTCTAAATCGCCCTACACGTGCGGATCGTGATCTCCATTCCCCCCTTGTCATGGTCTGTACCGCTCAAGACTTTCTTTGCTTTGGCTTGGACGAATCTGGCCAAACGGGCGGACAGATACATCCATACATAAGGGGGGCAGACACACACAGGGGGAGAGAGAGAGAGAGAGAGAGAGAGAGAGAGAGAGAGAGAGAGAGAGAAAGAGAGTCGGCGAAAAGGAGAGAGAAGGTATGAAGGAAGGAGGAGAGCACGTACCTGGCAATGGCCGCCTCTTGAATCGGGTCGCAGTTGCGACCGAATACATGTAACAGGAGGAGGAAAGACTGGGTGAGTAGGAGGAGGAGGTATGTGCGAGAAGTGGAGACGAGGAGTACTGGGGTAGGAGCGTGGGAGAGAACTTACCTCGGACACCTGGTGATGCGGGGCGGACCGAAAGTCGAGCTACGGCGCCAAACTTCGAGGTGCCTTGAGGGGTGTGGTTGTGTGCCCGCCCATGTCCGAGCGGAAAGATTCATTCCGATTTCGGAAGCAGCGTGGGGGCTGCCGTGAGCTTGGGGAGTTACTGCCCATCGTCAAGCAACTGCTACCTCGCATCCAGCTATTGATTGTTTCTGTTCAGTGGACTACTGCTCCGACAGGGTGGTTGGACCTCATTAACATTTGCTGCGGCTGGTGCTCCAGTGCTGCGGTCTTTTCATCCTGAAGTGGTTGAAGCCTTTGGTTTCGAGCCACGCCTTGTGTCTCGGAGTCACAGCCTGTGTTCCAAGTCACGACTGTGCCTCTGTTGGGCATGTTGATGGTTTCTGAGTCAAACTGTTGGGCATGCTGATGGTTTCTGAGTCAAACTGTTGGGCTTATTGCTGAGAGGTTACTGTGCTTTTTTGCGGTGACAGATACGATTGCGATTGTTACTGTGGTACTGCTGCTACCATATTCTGCAAGCGGTGGACTGTGGTTTCGGGGCCTGAGGATTGCTGATTTATTATGGTTGCTGTTGTCGACCAGTTACCCGGTCAGTGCTGCTGTATTGATGTGATTGGGGGCGTGCGGAGCAAACAATACACTTGCTGAGCATGGTTGGACAGGACCGTAAGCTTGCACATTGGGCTTGTAGTACGCGGGCTCCGTACCATTATCAATAAATATTAAATCGCGCTGTGCGCCGCTACTGTGGATGGCGTTGTTCTTCATTGTGCACTGCTGCTGAACAGTGCTGCAGGGCCTTGATACTGTGCACGGCTGTTGTGGGCAATGTGCTTTGACTCGCTGCGTTTCACCTGCACCTCGAATAAAGCAAGGGAAGGGTTATGCTCTATTTGAACGCGGACTTTTTAGGCTGCATTCCTGCGGTTTGGTCTGAGGGAACGGCAGCACGAATTGAGGGGTCACTGCAGCAACTTAGGGGATCTTCATAGCACTGGCTTCGCGACTTTGTGGTGGGGACCCAGCTATCTTCATACGAATTGGCTGCCATTGCGGGGCCCTCGGGCGCATCCAGATTTCAAGGCCCTCTCATTGTGAGTTGAGTTGTCCCACTCTTGGATCTCGAGAGTCTAACCTATCTCTTTCTATCCTTCTTACTCCAAGTCTATTCTGATGTTCAGAGAGGAAGGCGGCAGGCGGGATTGCAACCCATAGGTCCGCATCAAGACCTTGTGGGAGGTCACCCACTGATTGCGAGAGCTCTGCCGGAGCCCAAGCGGGGTTCTGGAGGCAGGGAACTTAAGGTATAAGTTTCATCTAATGTGTGCGATCCTTTCCCCTAACTACATTATTCCCTTTGGGGTATCCGAATATAACTATAACAGGTCTCACACGGCCACGACAGAGACCTCTCGAGGCATCCGGAGAGGGAGAGCGGCATGGGCCCTTCAGAAGAGAGCCTACACCTGTCTTTGATGATGACAACATCGAGCTCTTCCTAGACGTCTATCGAGATCACGCGACCCAGAGAGGGTGGGACATACTGGAGAGGATACGACATTTGAGAGGGATTGGGCGATTTGAGGAGCCTATCGCACAGATCAGGGAGGAGACATTGACCTGGCCGGAGGTGGAAGCAAGGATGCAGAGACTAAGGGCTTCGCCTGTGGGGCGTGATGGATTGCCTATTCGGTTGGAGGAGGGAAATGCGGAAGAGTTCATCCCAACATATGAGCAGTATATGAGTGATCAGGGAATTCAGAGGGATGAATGGATGCAGACCCTACTCCTATGGACCAAGAGGGCGGACAGACCACTGGCAAGACAGATCCGAGATAGGGCACGTGACTGGGAGGACTGCCAGGCTCAGTTGAGGGAGGCGTTTCGACGACCAGAACCAAATAGACCTGAGCCCAGGGTTGATAGGAGGCGAAGAAGCAAGAGGCTGAGGGAAGGTCGGAAGGCTTTGGCGCAACGGGAAGGAGGGCGAGCAGAATCTTTCCCTGCCTGTGGAGTCAGGCAGGTGGAGTTCCACCAGGTTACTAGCAGTGACCTACAGAGACCTTCGCTGCGATCGTCAGGGCGGGGAGAGAGCAGACCATCAGAGGCTCCGTTCAGGAGTCTGGAAGCCCATCTTGATGCTTCCTAGTGGGAAGCCCCTTCAATGGCTGAGCCTGAGACTGAGCCACGCGGACAGGAGGAGTTGCATGATGGGGAGATTATTATGATAGAGGGTGACAGTCCTCCTCATACCCCAGTTCCAGAGCAGGTACGACAGCCTTGGCCAGAGGGAGTCCCCGAGCCAGATAGCCAGGAGATTCCAGCGGCCCCGCCATAAGCCACTATGTCACCCAAACAAGAGGTTGAGGCACGGGGACCAGAAGAGGGATGGAGGACTGAGTCCCGCGTGGTCATTGATTCACGCCTAGCCTCACATGCATCTGAGCACCCTGATATTGAGGTGCCTAGCTCGGTTGGGCCATCGTTTGGGCCACCGCACGTCGAGCCTGAGAGGGGCGCGCAGGCTCCAGCCAGGGAGGTCCGTGGAGTGAGAGCGGAAAAGGCGTCAGAGGAGACCGCAGAGGCAAAGTCTACCAGGATACAGGCCAGCCTTGCTGAGATATATGAGCAGAAGGAAAGGATGGAGGCGGCGGGAATAGCACCGACACCACCAGTTGACCCCAGGACGAGCGAGCAGAGGATTGAGGAGTTATGGGCCAGATATGAGAGCCGAAGGGAGGCAGCTCGCCAGAGGTCACAAGAGGCGGGGCAGGCGGATGAGAGGGCAGATGAGGCAATAGAGATTGGAGGGCTGGGATTTTCTGCTGCCAGGAGGGCCATCGAGCAGGTGGACAGAAGGATACGACAAGCAGCCACCACATCCTTCCAGAGGTATACTCTGCTCAGTGATGAGCTGGCAATCGGGAAGGGAGAGGTGGAACAGCTGACTGCCCAGCTCGTAGAAGAAAAGACTGAGAATAAGGCCTGGAGGACTCACCTGGAAGCGAAAGAAGCTGAGTGGGAGAAAAGGCTCAAGGAGATGTCAGTTGCAGTGGAAAGATTTTCAGCCACTAAGGTGGTCGATTGGACTGAACAGAGCAGGTGTGGCATTCAGGGTGAAGGGATGCAGGGACTGTTTGGCGAGGGAAAGGCGGCAGAGACATCTCAGCAGGAAGAATTAAAGAAGGTGTTTCTGGACCCGGCTGAAGTAGAAGCAAGGAGGGAGGCTAACAAGGGAAGTTTTGAGTTCAAGGCTCCCACTGAGTTAGCCTCGCGGCAAGAGGCCCCTACTTCAGCTAAGGCCCCTATGGAGGTGCCAATTCAGGAACCCCAGCCTGCACCGGCAGAGGAAGAAGTTGCAGAAGAGTCGCTCACGATCCTTTTGGAAGCGCAGGAAGGGACCCTTACTGGGGCAGTGGTACCCCCTCAGTCCGAGGCACAAGGGAGAGAGTCATCACGCTTGGACGAGTTGGTGGCCGCCATGGAAGTAGATATGCTATCAGAAAGGCCTCAGAGAGTGGAGACCCCGGAGCATGTGCCAGAAATGAGGGAGTTGAGGACACAGTTGGGCTCCTGGGCCACTAGGATTGACTCAGTAGGGCAGGCCACTGAGCGACAGCAGCAGGAGGCCACGAGCCAGCCTGCAAGGGCAGCTACTCCCCAGACTTCGGAGCCTCGCGAGAGTGAGGAAGTGGCTTTGACAGAAAGGACCCACGAGGGCAGGCCACGGAGGTTGGATACTCCCGAGTACAGGCCCGAGGGAAGTGAGGGGCGAGGGGAGTCGAGTGCTCAGGGATTTGGGAAGAGGGTTGAGGGGTCGTGACACCTGCCTCAGAGTCACGAGGTGGGCAGGGAGACAGGAGAGGCACTCCCGTCGTCAGGGGCCCAAAAAAAGAAGAGGAAGTTTCAGAGAAAGTCGGAGGCTATGTGCTTCTACTTTCTGGATGGTATGCACAGGGCCCTAGAGTGTCCTAAGTTCCTCAAGGATAAGGCTGCGGGAAGGGTTACTGAGCGGGGTGGAAGGATGTGCGATAGACATGGTCGAGTGGTGGAGAGAGCTCAGTTGAATAGGCAAAACCAGGAGGAGATGAGTGAGTAGGGGCTGTTTTTTTTATACGCCAGTAAGGGTAAGATGTCCTTGTGCATAGAAAATGAGTTAGGGATGTAGATGCTATGAGTCGGATACATGTGTCATGTTCTCTTGTACATAGGTAGAGGATAATGTACAGTAGAGTTTTGGGGGAATTTTTCTTGTTATAACTCAGGAGAAAGGACTCAGTTGTGTGATATTAAAAAATACTTGGTTTACCTTTTCGTTTTAGTACTCATATTTCACTTGTACTCTTAAGAGTGTTTTTAAGAGTTAAGACACTTGAGACATGAGTCTGTTTGATATGAGAGGGACAGGGCGTTGAGTACCGGTATTGGTTTTTGAGGGGCATTCTATTCCTGAGTATATACGGAGTGGAGATTTTGAGACGACTTCCTTGTGTATGACGATCACTCTCACTCTCACATGTGTGTTTTTTCCTGATGTATGATGGTTCGTGTGAAAGATATGTGAAAAACATCTCGTATGTTTCGTATTTGGTAATTGTGGATGGGTGTGAACTGTCTACTCTTCGGTATACTCGTGCGATTTGCCCATGGGCGAATGATAGGGCCGAGTATAAGAAGGGGAAGTGCAGTCTGTTTTGTAAAAATGTGGGGATCCTAAAGGATTTATGAGTCTTTGAGACTTGAATGCTTACCATGCCGAACGTTTATTGTTTGAGTTGTGCCGAGGGCCCATAAGTTGGCCTCTCAGTTCGTGTGGTTTTACGGTTGAGACACCTTTTAAGTAGAAAGGCAGTCTTATGTTTTACTTGGGAGACTCATCTTCAAAAAGGAAGGTGTTTTACAAAGGTCATGTGAGAGCTCCTCCTAGAGAGAGAGGGATGGCTGGGAGACCTATTGAGTGTGACCCCCTTGCATGAAAGGTGGTTAATAGATTTAAAGGCATGGAAAGCTGGTTGTGGGAAGATAAAGACTGACGAGAGGGACCAGGAATTGTTGGCCATTTGGTGGGATTTTCAGGAATGTCGCAAAATGGTTTGATTTTGAGAGATATCATTAAGATGTGTAACCTTCTTACCCTGATCAAATTGGGAGGTCACGACCTTGTGAATCTGGCGGTGATTCTGTTTTGTGAATGTGGAGAGGTTGCCATGTTTCCTCTGTGTTGTCCCACAGAGGGTTGGTAAATACCTTTTATGTGTGATAGGCCTATGTGTAGTCCCGCAATAGACCTGTATTGTTGCGACACACCGTCCAACCACTAGTGTTAATCTTAGGGCATATAAGGAAGACCAAGTTAAACGGTACAACTTTAGCCCCACTAGGGCATAACCCCTAGGGATGGCTGTTGGCCGGCACAACCTGGCCGCGGGCCCACGCCTTACCGAAGGAGTAAAAACTTAAAGGGTGTGGCTGCCTACGTGCACGACGCCTATCCGATTTCCGCATCGGAGAGTTATGGGACGACCACTAAGGGACTAGGAGTGTTGTCGCGTTGTTCGTCTAGTGTCGTTCTGTATATGTGTAGGTGCGTGTGTGTGTGTGTGTTTTTGTATGTTGTTAGAGTAGTGTGCGCGTGGTGAGTGGGATACGTCCTAGTCGACCGACGACGAATCGCGCTTGGGACTTCAGCCCCCCAAGATCTCGGTTCGCGTACGGCCCCGATAGGCGTGATACCGCGCGTACCCCCTATGCTACAGCGAACGAGAAACGCCCTCGCCTGGTCCACCTCTGCGATTGCAACTGATCAACTTTCGTACTGTGGACTGGTAGCTCGGCGGGGATACGCCCACCGAAGGGAGGTGACAACTCCCGTAAGGTGGAGGTAAGTCGTGCCTCGCGTAGGCCCTGTCCAGTCGTAGGGGCTCGCGAGAGGTATGGCTGGCGCACTCGGCCGGAGCGGCTTGCGGAAGCTCCATGTACATTCGCGACGAGGATTCAAACTAACTCCTGCGTGACGCGACCGAGAGGGTCCCGCGCTGCCTTGTGCGGTGCCGGATCGATGCGCTCGACAGCGCCCAGATCCACACAAGGGGAGAAAAACCACAGAAGAGAGGAGGAGGAGAGGAATAAGAGATGCAAGGGAGGTACTCGAAAGAGGAAAACGGAAATAGAAAGAGGACAACTAGGAATAGGAAAGGACAAGAGCAAAAGATCAAGATTGGAGATGGAAATCGAGCACACTTTCCATAGAAGGGAGGCGAGAGGTGAAGTAAGCGACAAGTAAGGAAAGCCTCACACTGTGAAGGAAGGAGTGGATCAACACCAGCCAAGCACTTCATTATATATTGCAGCATACAAGGTTCGAACTGTCTCCCCCAAAGAGACGAAGGTAAGAATAGCCGTCCCTTTTTCAACCAACACCCGATTTAGCAAAAGACAGCGAGTGGACAACGCAAGGAACAGTAGAAGGGCAAATACCCAAAAAGGGAGAAACGACAATGCACCAAGAGGAATAGTTCCTTCAGTAGAGATTCGTCGTCGAGCACTGCCTTCATCCGAGTCTAGAACAGAGGAGGCTGGCAACAGAAACGGGTATCGACGGGACTTCATGATCCGGAGAGTGTCGGACTTCAATAGAAGTTCAGCACAGAGCGGACAAAGATAGGAAATTCAACACTTCAATCCCCCCCTCGTCTTACCACCCAACCCTTTCCGCCACGACAGTTTACAACCAAGCCCGACTCCTCTTTCTGCCCTCCCATCACCCTCCCCCACTTCCTATACCCCCATTCCCCCTCAATCCCCTCCACCCCCACCCGACCCCCCAATCCGACCCCCAATACAATCGCACCTCCCAACCCTTCCCCCCCATCCTCATTCCACCTATCCTTCACACACCACCCCTCCTCCTCCCCTCCCTCCTACTCACACAATTCCCACTTACCAACCCCACACCTTTACTCCCAACCAACACCTTCGAATTCCAGTCCTTCTCACCCCAACATCCCCCCCTCGCCACACCCATCAACAGTCCCCAACATAATCCAAAACCCTTCACCTACACTTTACAGCTCCTCATCTACCTGCCACTCTTATTTCTTATTATTAATTTTATTTATTATTACGGGTATTATTTTTATTATTATTACTCAGAATACTATTACTATTCCTACAATTATTAGCAGAACTACTAACAAGACCAATATTGAGAAGCTCGTTTACCGCCATTATAACACCAAACCTCACTTCCTATTGTGGAACAAAAAAACCCTTCGACATGAACATGCCTCGTGTCATCACGTACTCCCTACCCCAAGTGGGGTAGCAAACCTCTGCTGAAAAATCGGACTTGAGTAACCTCTGAAGCTTTCTTATAGCAGTGCTTGTCGAGTCCCTCACCCCATTGGCAAATCTGGATAAGAGATCACGATTCCTTAAAACTTAAAAGGGATACGAAGCTCAATGAAATTTCCCACTTTGAATTATTACACTGATTGGTTTCTCCTGCTCCCCGAAGAGGGAGACTAAACTATGTCTCTGCTCGTCTCTCCTTACCACATTTACCACTCTAGATCTGACCCCACGATCCCCAGGTGGGTGAAGCCCTATTAAATCTCACACTTTTTTCTAAATCTGGATCTGATCGCTCGCTCCCCAGGTGGGGAGGCGAAGCTCTGTCTAAATCCACTGCTTTTTTTCTGAATCTGACTCCACGCTCCCCAAGTGGGGAGGCGAAGCCCTGTCTTGTTTTCCAGCTGCAATCGAAGCTCGGGATCTAAATACACGGTCCCCAAGAAGGGAGGTGAAGCACTGCCAAATTTTTCCAGCCGCAGTGGACTCTACTGCCATCGACACATAGGATCGTACATCACGCTCCCCAGGTGGAAAGGCGAAGCTCTGTCCTTTTTTTTTTGCTCTGAAACTGATCTCACGCTCCCCAATTGGGGAGACGAAGCTCCGCCAAACTTTCTGCTGCACCCGTCACTCTGGAGTCAATCTTTCGTTCCCCAGGCGGGGAGGCGAAGCTCTGTCAAACTCTTAGTATTACTAGCTGCTCGGGATTTGATCTCACGATCCCCAGGTGGGGAGGCGAAACCCTATCAGTTTTACAGCGGCATCTGCCTCTCTAGATCTGACCTCAAGCTTCCCAGGTGGGGAGGCGAAACTCTGTCTTTTTTTACCGCATTCACCTATCAGTTTCTGATCTCACGCTCCTCAGGCGGGGAGGCGAAGCTCTATCAAGTGTTTTCCACTGAACTCGCCACGCTTGTGCAAATCTCATGATCCCCGGGAGGGGAGGAGAGGTTATGTCAAGTTATGTTAATTCCTCAATCTCATTCGTTGTTCAATATCTGATCCCAAGCTCTCCAGTAGAGGAGGATGAATTCTGTCATTTTTTACTGCTGCAATCTGTTTAGGATTCGGTGAAGGTCATCTTGGCAGGGCAGGTGTTGAGGTTGGGGGATGGATGGGTTAGGGGGTTTTGGATAGGCTTGGTGTACAGGGTAATGTAAGCATGATGTGGGGGAGGGAGGGGAGTAGGAGCTAGTGGTGGTATGGAGACTGTCACTTGGGGGTGGGGGGGAGAGGGGGTGGAAGGTGTGGGATTGTTGGGGGGAGAGGGGTTTTTACTGGTTCAGTAGTGGATTAGTGGTGGGTGGCTGGTTTGGGGGTAGTTGTGTGTGGGATAGGGGAGTTGTTGAGGCGCTTGGTGTCTGTGTTATGGCTAGCCAATTTTTGAGAGTTAGTCTGTCATTGTTGATTGTGCCTAGTAGCCCATGACCTAGTTTGGAAGTTGAGAACATTTTGATTATTTCGTTTTTTTTTTTCGTGGTCAGTGGGGAGCTTTTTAAGTTGTTGTTTTTTTTCCGGAGGGCATAGATTTCGGCGTCTATGAGTTGTTTAGTGATGATGAGTGGGTTCTCTGGGGTAGTGAGTCTGTCATCGAAGGTGCTGTCGCATCTGTTTTTCC